ATCCTCGAACTTGTCTTCGGATAAGTCTCTTTGAACAAACTCGACGAACCCTCAGACTTTGTTAAGCACTTTGTGCATAACACTCTGATGCATGCATCAAGTTCCTTAGGATCTAGTAGTTTCTGACACCAATGCACCATGTGCTTGAAAACGCCCTGGTATAACTGGTGGAGGACATCAGGAGTGATTGCAATATGGATGTTACAGTGAGGAAAACCGGTCCAAAAAGGCTTGTAGACGGATTCAGATACTAGTTGCTCCTTGCACCTCTCTTGAAACTGATGGAATGAATGCGTATCTTCCTTAGCCTTGTTGATTACTGACTCTGTCCATTGATCAGTACGTGGCTCTCCTGCAGTAGAGGCTGAAAGCTCTTCTGGAGGTCGTTTGCATTTGGGGCAGGTACCATATTTTGAGCACGTCACCAGACACTGCTCTGGATAATCGGCCACATAGCAGGCTAGCACAGGGTATACTCTTCTCACTGCTCCATCTATTAAGAACAAAGATTGAAGGAAGTGTCTAGCCACTTGCTGAGAGCAATCAGGGACTGGAACTAGAGTCCAATGTGAGTAACTAGAGAATAGGAAGCATTGGACTCTGCAGTACTGTCCGAAGTTTTGTAAACAAAGGTAAACAAAGCAGCCACAAAGGCGAAATAATAGAGAACACAATCAATAGTGAATGATAGAAGAATAGATAGAGAAAGGAATGAAAATATATAGGTAGCACAAAGGTGCAGAATCACCAAAACTAACACTCCCCCCTGATGCTGCACCTCCCAAGCATCAGCTCCCCCCTGATCTAATAAGTCCCATCATCTTCCTGAACACTTCCACTTTAGGCTTGGCAAGAGCCTTGGTCAACAAGTCTGCAGGCATTTCAGCAGTGGGAACAAAGGTAGGAGCAATCTGCCCAGAGTCAACAACATCTCTCAACCAATGCTATCGCAGATCAAGGTGTTTCATCCGACCATGGTGCTCAGGGTTCTTGGATACAGAGATGGCAGATTGGTTGTCAATATGAAGGGTGGAAGGAGAGGTGATAGGATAGCCCATTTCCTTCAACAAATTTCGCATCCAGCAGATCTCTTTGCCAGCCTCAACAGCAGCAATGTATTCTGCTTCAGTGGTGGACAGAGCAACAATGTTCTGAAGCTTGGAGCTCCAGGAGACAGCACCAGATCCCATCTTGACAATATAGGCACCAGTAGAACGACCAGAGTCCTTGTCACCACCATGATCAGCATCAGAGAAAGTGGTGAAGAGTTCAGTGGAATTGGGATCAGGACCAAGGACAAGGGAATGATCAAGGGTGCCTTGCAAGTAGCGGAACAAGTGCTTGACAGCGCTCCAGTGAGTAAGACCAGGATTAGAGTTATATCTGGCAAGGACTCCAACGGTGTAGGCAATGTCAGGACGAGTGGTAGTGGCCAGATACATCAGAGCACCAACAGCAGCAAGGTAGGGAATGTCCTTCATCAAAGCAGCATCACTGGATGTTTTGGGAGACATGTCCTTGGTGAGGCGCAAACCAGGATCCATTAGAGTGGACACAGGCTTGCAGTCCTTCATGCCAAAGCGCTCCAGAATGTCCAGAGTGTACTGATGTTGGGAGAGGGAGATGGTGCAATTACTTAGGTCTCCAGTGATAGAAATGCCAAGTAGGTAAGAAGTAGGGCCAAGATCACGAAGCTTAAAGTGCAGGGAGAGGTCCTTGACAGCTTGGTCAAGTGCAGAAGTAGAAGTGGATGCCAGTGTCATGTCATCAACAAAGACAGGCAGGATAATGCGCACATCAGCTCTGTTAAAGATATAGATGGCAGAGTCTGAATAAGTACGCTTGAATCCGAGTTTTTCAAGCACAGTGTGCATCTTCTGGTTCCACATTCTGCCTCCCTGCTTTGTCCCATAGATGGCCTTGTCCAACTGGCAAACAAGATTGCAAGGACCCTGATAGAATCCCTCTGGCTGATGCATGTAGACCTTAACATCCATGACTCCATTCAGGAATGCATGGGAAATGTCAATGGAGCGCAAATGGAGGTTGTGGATGGCTGCAATGGCAAGGACAACTCTGATAGATGATATGTGGACAGTAGGTGCAAATATTTCGAGGAAATCAAAGCCAGGGCGCTGGTTATAACCTTTGGCCACATATCTGGCCTTGTAGCGCTCAACAGTGCCATCTGAGTTGCGCTTGATCTTGAAGACCCACTTGCCACCAATAGCCTTGACTCCAGGAGGTAGTTCCACTAGTGACCAAGTACCATTGCGCTCATGAGCTTGAAGCTCTTCCATGGCTGCCTCTCTCCATTTATCTGCATCAGGACGCTTCATTGCATCTGCAAATGACCTAGGCTCAGCAGAGTCTCCAAAGTGTGCCACTTCATCATCAACTGCCTCAGAATCACTACTGTCACTGTCACTCTCAATGACAGGAGTAGATTGTTTGTGCTGATGCCACCATTGTCTGGGTGGTCTCCTAGCCCTTACAGGGCGTCTCAGTGCAATAGGCAAGTCAGGAGAAGGTGAGCGATGAGGAGGGTGATTTGGAAGCTCAGGAGGTTGATTCACAGGTGGTTTTGCATCAAGGTCCAAATGATGCCCATTGTCAGGCAATGGCTGAGGCTGCTGAAGCGCAGCTGGTGGGCCCATATCTCCCCCTGGACCTGGTGCAGGGATATCCTCAATCAGGCCCAATAGCATGGATAGCGAAGGTGGAGTGGGAGGTGGAGGTGGGACATTGTCAGAAGACCTCTTCAAGCCAGGGAAGTAGCGCTCATCAAAATCAGCTCTCTCAGAGATAACAGTGCGCTTGGTGGTAGGATTGTAGAATTTCCATCCCTTGTACCCCTTGGGGTAACCAATGAACACACATTTCTCCATATGAGAGCCAAAGACGCCTCTTTTGTCCTTTTGCACATGCACATAGGCAGTGCAGCCCCAAACGCGAAGGTGAGACATGTCAGGCTTGCGTCCATACCACAACTCAAATGGAGTGGCATGGGCCACTGCATCAGTGGGACACCTGTTCCAGACATGCACCAAAGCGGACAGACATTCACCCCAGAAGCTGTTAGGCAATGCAGACTCTGATAACATGGCAGTGATACGCTCAGTCAGAAGTCCGTTTGCTCGCTCTGCCACACCATTCTGCTGAGGACGATTCCTGGTGGTATGCTGTCTGACAATCCCATGGTCATCTGTGAATTACTCAAATTCCTTGGACATGTACTCTCCCCCTTTGTCATCGTGCAGAGCCCTGATTTTACGCTCCAATTGAGTCTCAGCATAAGCCTTGAATCTCTTGAAAGCATCAAAGACATCTGACTTGGCCTTGAGAGGCACAACAACACGGAATCGACTGTGATTGTCAATGAAGGTGACCCAGTAGCGATAACCAGAGAATGTGGGGGAAGAGACTTGGTGTACATCAGAATGGATGAGGTCCAAAGGATGAGCAGAGCAAGTATCAGATGAGGGGAATGGATTGGCATGCATCTTGCCAGACAAGCACGGTTCACAGACAGGATCAGGAGCAGCCTTGGATTCCAGTGTAAGCCCAGTGACCAGATCTCTCTGTATCAGTCTCTTGACATCAGCATGATGGTGGTGAGCCAATTTGCGATGCCAGAGCATCAAATCAAGTGGTATAGTCGCAGTAAAATGTCCCAATTCAACACAAGCAGCAGTAGATCCATCAAGGAATGCTGCATTGTTGTCATTGATAGTTGCAGTGAACAAGAGAGTGTTGTCACGCATAAAGGACATGGAATGAGACGAAATAGTGACATTGAAACCACTTTGACGAGTTAAATACAAGACTGAGAGGAGATTATTTCGAAGATCTGGTACATGGAGCACTCTAGAGAATTCCACATCCCTAGCCACTTTGCCATTCATCACAGGATTAAACACCACAGTACCAACACCAGCTGAATAGACAACAGTGTGATCAGCCAGCTTGATTGGCACACGATATGGGGTATAGTGGTGCACCCAATGACGATGAGGTGTCATATGAGAAGTGGCGCCTGTGTCTGCATTCCAATCAATGTCAGCATCAAGTTGGAGAGGGCAATGAGGATCAGAGGGATGAATGGAACAAAGACTTGCATTTCCAGCTGATTCAGTGACCACAGTAGATGAATTGGCATCGTTGGGCGAAGATTTGGGCTGCTGAGAGGTATTCTGAGAGTTTCTGGAGCCTGCCTGAGCCTTATTGCCACGCTTGTAGTGATTCTTAGCACCCTCCACTGCCTGTTGGCGACTAGCAATGTATCTGTGGCATTTGTCTTGGGTATGACCAAGTAAACCACAGAAATCACACTGAACGCGAGTAGAGGTGGTGGATTGGTTGCAATGATGGCAGTTAGGATGGGTGCAGGTGCTATTGGCAGTGGTAGACGAAGAATGCAAGGCAGAATTGACTTCAGCACGATGACGGCGATTGACCTCTTCAGCAAGGAAAGCATCCCTGAGCTGGGTCTTGTCCAAGGTGCCCAGAAGTAGTAGAGATGAAGTGAAGTGGGCATATTGATCAGGAAGCGCCCTAATCATGGCCATGCATGTCAATTCATTGTCCAATTCAGACAATGAGAAGCCAGTAGGACGAAGATTTTGAATCTGATGTATGCCTTCGTCAATTCTGGTCATGAGAAACTGCAGGGACTCGTCCTCCTTCTTTCTGATAGAGAAGAAGTCGTCATAGGCATTAAATCTCGTCCCAGGCTTCTTAGAGATGTGCACAATTGCCAGTTTCTCCCAGATCTTGACAGGATCATCAATGATGCCATCAAGATGGATGCGCTGCTCTTTGGTGACATTGAGGTATAATGCACTAGCAGCCTTTTCAGCTCTCAACTCCCATTTCTCTATTGCTTCAGTGTCAGTCCCAGGACACTTTTCAGCGCCAGAGACGAGCCTCCACAGTCCCTTGGTCATCAACCAAGCTTGCATTTCACCACTCCACTGGGGGTAGTTAGTGCCAGACAAGGGATGGAACTTGGGATCAGAGTCAGACATGATGGGTGTTGTATAAGACAATAGAGCAATGATAAATGATGTAGGAGACGGCTATAGGCAATGGAATAGTGGCAAAGACAATGGGCAACAGTAGGAGGTGAGCAAATAAGATGGTGAGGCGGTAGAGAGAGGATATGGAGAGGGTCAGAAAGTGCAAGGATAGGTCCAAATAGGGTCCAAAAAGTGTCCAAAAGCGATCCAGGAGGGTGCTAAGGCTTCCTAGTGCTGCTACAGGGTTACGCCTGTGTTCCCCTTTCAATTCCACACTGATATTAACAGAGAAATCGCCTCGAGACAGTGTTGGTTAATAGGGCTTGTATATGAGTCAACAAAGTGACTTAAGCTCCCCAAACACCGCAGACTGAGAGAGGCTCTAGGCAACAGCAAACTGAGGCAATACAGGCGAGCTTCACAGTCTATAGGCTTGTTCTATCTGATAATGGACAGAGTAGAGAAGATTGGAGCTTTATGCACACACCAGATATGCCAAAAAGCGAAAAATAGGGCAAAAAGTCGAAATTGATGCAGAGACAGATAAGATGGATGGATTGCAACCAAATCAGAGGTATAGGGAACATATTTATAGAGTCACGAGAAGTGAAGCACAGGATGTGGAGATATGCAATAGGGGTCCAATAGGGGTGAGAGTGCCAAAAATGCGAACTTCACAGAGGATGATGGAGTGGATGGATTGCCCCCAAATTGACGGTGTAAAGTGCAATAGTATAGGGTAGTAGATGGCTCAAATAGGGCCAAGATCCGAGCACAGGATGTGGAGATATGGAATAGGGGGCCAAAAGGTGATCAAATGATGATGAAGGCTCACAGAAAGATCCAGCTCAAATCCAACCGCTCTGACAGGTCTCCTAGGGTTATTTAGAAGTTACAAGACGATCAGATAAGGATTGGGCGAGATATGGTGCAGATAAGACCAAAAAAACGTCCAAAATGGAGGTAACTTGCAACAAGGAGTTGTTGTTGGAGATCAAGATGAGATCAGAGTAATCTGAGGTGATGGATGAGATAATAAGAGTCCCAGAAGACAATGGTTATGATGGATAAGCAGTAGGACGCTTGGATGGTGAGATATGAGGTCAGGAAGATGGCTAGAGCACAGGGCTCATAAACTATTAAGAACAAAGCTTGAAGGAAGTGTCTAGCCACTTGCTGAGAGCAATCAGGGACTGGAACTAGAGTCCAATGTGAGTAACTAGAGAATAGGAAGCATTGGACTCTGCAGTACTGTCCGAAGTTTTGTAAACAAAGGTAAACAAAGCAGCCACAAAGGCGAAATAATAGAGAACACAATCAATAGTGAATGATAGAAGAATAGATAGAGAAAGGAATGAAAATATATAGGTAGCACAAAGGTGCAGAATCACCAAAACTAACACCATCTCCTCCTACCATCTCTATTCTATCCCTCCCAGCTTTTTTTAATGGGTCCAAAATAATCTTCATTGATTCATGAAATAGTCTCTGCACTCTGGATGACTTTTCTCTTGACATGAGTTGCATGCCTATGATTTTTCTTACAGACAAGTAGCCAATTAAGATACAGGCATGCTGGCTTGGTCTTTGTTGTATTGCACGTGGAATATTGCCCAAAGTTAGATACACAGGATAGGCAGATTTGGAATCTGAGAACTGCGTCAATTGTGTTTTGTCTGTAGCAATTATGACTGGTGAAAGAGCTGCTCACTTAGGTAGACGTGCCTGCACACATAAGAGTCAACATTCAAATAAAAATAATATCCAGCGTAATACTGACCTGGATTGCATGCCACCACTTTCCAGTCCACATTTCATTGTAAATTCTATTTTCTTTCTGTGCATTACTAAATATCTTCTTAAGTTTGTAGACAATGTGTTTTGCATGGGCTGGGTTGCCAAGGAGGCTACGAATGGCAGAAAGGATGTCACGGTAATGAATTAGATGTTTGTCATCAGGGGCATCTGGGAATGCAATGGTTTTTGACATCCAATCAGCTCTGGATGGAATACCAGAGTCAACTATCTTGTGTAGCCCTCTAATGTTGTGATAGGACAATCCAAGTCTCTCTTTGACCTGAAACAATGGCTTCTTTAAGGAGATCCAGGAAGTGAATAGAATAAAGACATACCCCTGGAATAGTTAACAAACGGTCAAATGATTTGTAACCTATTACATCCTGGATCGCCCAACAGGCAACTCGCCAGTCTGTTTCTGATGCAAATGGAAAGAACCTAGTATCCTGTGGTCCAGAGGCAACTGGGAAATTATTATCCATATCCACATCCCCATAATCGTCTACAGCCCCTCTTGCACCTTCAAAATCCTTTCTCCATCTCTCATGCAAGGTATGGTCCATACATATTATCTGACCTGCTGTAGGGTGGAGAATTTCTACATGCTCATCATCATTATCATTCAGGCATTTGGATGATTAGAAGGACCCGCTGCCTCCCCTGGCTCCAGATCCTCCTGTTCAGGTTGCTTGAGTGGGCTGAATACAAATAGATCTTCTTCAATATCTTCCACGGCATCTCCGATGGATTCCTCCTGGAATGGATGTGGAGGGCCATAGGGGTTATCTAAATTTTCTTCCACCAGCAATCCTTGCCTCTCCAAGTCGCCATCCTGCTGGGTTAGGATCTCTCTCAATTTACCCTTGCGGTACCAAGCACAGCTTCTTGCAGAGCCAAGGTGCGTATTGAGGGCACGGGTGTCGGAAAAAGATCTGCCACATGATGCTGGGCATGGGTGAGGAGTATTACGGTTGACAAGCATTTTGTTAGGTTGGAGAATGAGGAACGATGAATGCTACAGAGAACCCAATTTTACAGATGTCCAACAAGGTCACATTACAAATACATGACTATTTAGTACGCTAGAATCTGCAATATCAGAAGCAAGGAATGAAGGCAAGGCATTATGACAGCATTTAAGAGATTGGAGAGTAACAGCTTGCAGACAATTGGATGCCTTGACTGCCTGAAGAGAGGATGCGGAGGAAGTGACCAAATTTGAATACCTTGCCATACTTCCACTGGTCCCCTTTGCACCTGAAGCGTAGCTCAACACCAAAGGGGCCTGGAATGCAAATCGCTCGTCATTGGACCTCCAAAGATCCAGATGATGGACAAACCCTGACAGTCTGCTAAAAGGCCTCCTCAGATCCTTCCACCTTTCATTGCGTTGAATTTCCTCTAGAGCTTCCCCGAGGATATCGAGAACATTGTTATGGGAGGCATGCAACAGTACAAAGAATGGTGGCGGACCTGCCTCTACAAATCTCTTTGAGAGGAACAATGTGGACCCAAACAGAGCCTTGCAGAGGCGCTTGAAGTAAGGGATCATAAAGGCGAAGTATTCAGATACATTCTTTTCAAGAAATCTTCGATGGTCTGATACTTGTGGAAAGCAGCGTCAGAGCGGGTAAACATTGAAGTGAACTCGGGATTTAGCCATTTCTTGATGTCGTCCTTTTCTTTAGCATCTGCATCTTTTATCTCATACGGCTTTACCATCAAGACACACATGGCCAGCAATACGTAATAGAACGACTCCAGATCATGATGGGCAGTGTGTTGAATCCAGTCACCAGGCTGTGCATTTTGGACTTCCACCGCCATAAAAGGCTCTGTCCCCTGTAAAAAATACATAAAACAAAATAATTAAATGATGGCCAATATAAACACTTAATGTACGTTCAAGAACATGATTTCCATTACCAACCTGCCAGCCCTCCTTACTCAACTGTTGTATAACATCATCAAGAGTACCCTCTGCAACATCCAACGTCCACTCAGGTTGATTATGACATAAAAATGAATCCGATGAATAGACACTGGTCGGAGCGGATTATTTCTTCCTCGTGGTTAACGGTGGATAGCATGGACTTCACCAACTCTTGCAGCTTCTGGACATCACCAGATTTTAATCCAAAATAGTGGTCATCCTGGTCTGAATCTTCAGACACATCATTTGAATGTTCATTGGAGTTGTCTGAATGCTCCGCTAACTCTTCAGTATCTTCAAATACAGCTGCAAATCCCCAGTCTGCAAGTAAACCCCTCCATATGTGAGTATTGGGAGGTGCACATCCCTCTGGAGCTTTCAAAGGGGGCCAGTCAGACAGTGCTTGATCCATGATAAGGGAGTTGCTGATTGAGCCATCCCGGTGTAAGACTTTCACAGGAACTTGGCCTGAAACAGAGGTTGCCATTGCCATCTTGTGACCTAGTTAATGTTAGTATAGGCAAATAAATGGTGGATATGATACTCGCCTTTGATGAGATCAATGATCACAACAAGGAGCTCCTCTAGGCAATTAAAATCTGTTATAATTGCACCAGCAGATGTAGTCGTTGAACAAATGTGAACACGCAGTTGGTAAGGGTGGTGTGGATGAGCCAAAGCTCGGGCCCTCTCCTTGTCTTTCAGTGATAATGTGGAGCCAAGGGCATCACAGATATTGGACGTGTAATTATATTCTGGACTTTGGCTTGATTGATCATGCTGGGCCCATCGCTTTGAGCTGCGAACTTTCTCTTCACAAATGAGACGTGGGACTCCCTTTACTCCCTTTGCTTCAAGCAGGCGAAGAATTGTACCCTCAGTAACGGCGGCGAGGATTATGCCAAGTATCCTTCACTATCAGATTGACACCTTTTAACCGCAATATCCATGGGTCGTCTGATCTCCTCAGTATAGGTATTTGTGCTCGCCTGACTACAGTTCCACGCCCATGGATGCTGTCAGAAATGAAGAGAATACAGTGAACCTTCAATTCACCCAAAGCGCTGACGCGAACATAATTGGGGTTAGCCCCAGTATCATAGCCCAAACACTTGTCTGAGCCATGGGAAAATCCAAGGAGAAGGTGAAGAAAAAGTGTTGGTTGCTGGTGAAGATTGAGTTCAAACGTAATGATTGAGCCACCCTGATCCATGTAGAGCAAAGTGAAGGAAGAACCCCGTATAGAAAGACCTTAAAAGTGTATGAGATTAATAGGAGACTAGACAATAATGTAAGAAGTACCTAGAGTGTAGATATGTCGATCTTGTGCAGCCCTAACAAATGACAATCTTCCCATAAGCTGTTTGTGTACCTTGTCAAAAGAGGCTTTATTTTCCTCTCGGTCCTTGAGCTCGCCAAGACTGTCGGCATTTCTCATACTTGCAGGAGGGAGCTTAGGGGGATAAGATGTGTCACTGGAGGATATGAATATAAGATCTGGGCGGCGCTTTCCACCAGCATCACCGACTGCTTGGACAGCATACGCAGAAGTCCACCATCTGGACCTCTTGAAGGTGCCGGAATCCACAAGCTGATCAACTCTGTGAACCAGATAGTTGAGAAAATCTGCGACCTCTCCTTCTGAGCCAGGGCTCCATGGTTTAGTCAAATACGGGCAGGAACTTGCAGCAGTCCACTTCCCTGACTCAGACGAGTAAAGCCCTCCCTGTCGAAGGCATTTGAAGGCAGTGAACAAGGGGTTTTCTTGAGGGAGAGCACCCGGCATAGACGGGAAGAGTTCAGATAGGGGAAATAGGATGTGGAGCATGTCTTCGATGGCGCAGTAACTCTTCAAGGGAGCTGCCTCTGCCTTGATAAGGGGGTCCATGATGGTGTGATAATATTGCTTAGGTCCTTTAAATAGGAAAGTGTTGAACTGGAACAGGGATAAGTGAGAGAGAAATCAAGAAAATAATGGGATGGACATACTTTGGGTTTGGTTGGTGGGGTACCGTGGCGTCGGATGGGAAAACCTTCCAAAAAAGATGGGTGCTATCGGAGTATAAAGTTAAAAACTATGGTGCAAACCAACAATGTACTTACATTGAGCGTGGCCATGGCAAGATTCCTAGGAGAAATGTTAATGATAGGTGAGAAACACAATTTTGATACTTAGCAGCAAGCTGGCCCTGACAGAGGCCCGTGGAAGCCATACTTCCTTGAGCTGGAACCTGCAGGCATAGGTGAGTAAGGCGAGATAAAATAGCTGTGTGTCCAAAAGCAGGATTTGCTCGCCTTGCTGAGTACTTCCTGCTTTTGGAGGGGACATGTGATCACACATTTTTGTAAAGTGGAGGTTACTCGGACATTTGCACACTTTCCTAAAGAGGATGTTGCTCAGACGCTCGCACACCTTCCTAAAGTGGATGTTGCTTGAATTCTCGCATATTTTCCTAAAGAGGATATTGCTCGGACGTTCGCACACCTTCCTAAAGTGGACACTTGCACACACCTTCCTAAAGAGGACGTTGCTCGGATGCTTGGACACCTTCCATTTATGGTTAAACCAAGAATGGCAGGTGCTCAAACACCTGCTCAACTGCCTTTTTTGGTTATCCCAAAAAATGCTATCCGTATCGGAATGTGAGCTGCTGGCACGTGCACTGAGCATGCATAGGAATGACCTCATGCATCTGGTGGAAATACTCAATGGTATCCAAGACTTACCTGAAGGCCTGGTTGACTTTCAGAGCAACTTATAGACATTGCTATTGTACCCATCAATTTTGTCTGCATTGCCACGTGAGCTTTCAAGTTTGATTTCTGATCTGGCTATCCTCAGCTGAAACTATATATTTGTCAGTTCTATCTGAATCCAAGTTATTGTTAGGTGAACCCTCACTAGGTATGTTTACATTTTTCTTTCCGGTTCCTCTTTGGAGAGCCAACAGCACCATCCAATACTACAACTAATTTAATAACCTACCTAAAGAGCAATCAGCACTACCAAACATGCTTCCCTGGTTGGACGAGTCTCACACCTCTACTGGCACTAATACACTTCAAGATTTTGGTTCTGAATCAATCAACCTACCCAATACCAGCATTCCAAAAAAAACCATTATGGCTTCCAAACAAAGCAATCAAGGGAAATCCAGAGCAACAAGACAACGAACTCAACGACCTCATACAAAAAAGTGAGATCTTGTAACATGGCCTTTGAGAACAACTGACAAGCTTCCTTGGACTTGAAGTCAGACATGGAATCTAAAAGGTGCTCCAGCATGGCTTGTGCTGAAGAACTCAGGCCATTCCGCCACTCGTAGACCTGCTGGCCAGGCTGAAAGAATATATGAAATATAACAAAGAAAAATGTTATGAAATTCTTACCACACAATAAACTGGACAGTTCATACTGATCTGGTATGTGATATCAGGATATACAATATCCCAGATAGCCTGCATAGTGGCTAAAACCTTGGGATCATTGAGATTCCATGGATTTTTGGAAGTGTCAAGCCAACACTGGAATGTTGGTACAAAGACTGCACACCATCAATTATCCTTGTGACATCCCTCTGGGAGATCACTGTTCTTTGACTTTACTCAAGCATTTAATATTTCCTTCTTGATTCACTTTGATAACAGCTCGTCTTTTATTGTAACTAAAGTCTACAAGCTGGTTCAGTCAGTACAACAAATAGAATAAAGGTACGTACTGATGTAGGGGGGTTTTTTTTCCCTTTCAAATCCCTATGTTCATCTGCCTCATCTGAATCTGAATCTACAAAGCTGCCAGGTTGGTATACTAGGTTGTTGTCATCATCATGATTGACTGTATGGGAGCTGGTTGTACTAGATATTGATGTTAAAGCTGTTGAAGCTGTTTTTCTTGACTCTTTCAAGCCAGTGATAGGGGACAACATGGACTTGCTGGAGTTGTCAGGTAGGCTACCTGTGGCTTTGAGAGAATCAGCTTTGTTAGCAATATTATTAGCCCAACTTTTGACAATGTTGAGTTGACAAGATTGATGACATCCAAGCTGCTCTCTGCAGTTTTGCTAAGATTATGGTAGAATAAAGTTGAGGATGTTAGTAGCAGCATCATGGGCAGTAAAAGTATGAGTACAAAATCAAACCAATGAGGAATAATGACCCAAACCTGACATGCGGCTGTTACCTCCCAAATTGCAACTGACTTGGCAGTGGCTGGTTGATAGATGCACTAATAGACACTCTGCTCAGGCCATCAGATTGTTTCCGCAGTGCATTGATGGCATCTCTCATGCTGGTTTTTTTCTTCCTCCTCGGTGGCTCTTCCTTGTCACTTCCTCTAACAATATCTCCTGCCCTCTCGGTACCCCCAGTATGTTTTCTAACCTTTACTCCCATACTAACCACCTCAGTTTCATTGATTGAACAGTCACTTATATCAGCCATGTTGAGCTGAGTGCCATCCATGCAAAGATCATTCTGGGCATCATCTTCCTCACTCTCAACTTGCCTGCCCCTGTGTCAAAATTGGGATGGCAGTGGAGGTGTTGGGTCACTGTCTGCATACAGGTCAGAGTGGTTTCCATTTACCTTGTTACCTCCAGCTAATTCTCTTTCCTCCTCACTATCAGGAATGACCACCTGTCTGCTCCTCCGGCAACTGAGAAGCCCACGAGATGCAGAAGACTTGAAAGGCATCTTTTTTTGGACATGCTAGCATTGAGAAGGGGGAGGAACCAAATTTTCATCTGCTAAGTCCTTACTTGCTTGCTTGTCTTCTTTCTTTGCCAGAGCTAAAAGTGCCCATCTAATAGTGAGTGCAGCCATCTCATCATTAATTGCCCCGGCTTTTTTATCCTCTGCTACCTTAGTGCAGGTTTGATGTTTAGACTGGGTGTCCAAAATGATCCTTCCATGGTGCTGGTTTGTATTTTTAGCATGGGTAATTGGATGGCTCATAGTGAAGAAGATAGGGCTTGGAGGTTGAAGAGACAGAGAGTGGGGTATGCACATAAATGGTGGGTGGGCAAGCATATTTCAAGAACTTTTCACACTTATGGTGTGACTGTTGTCTTGTTGCACGCTCAGGATGTGGCTTTGATACTTGTAACACAGTCCTAAATATTCCTTTTTCTTCTTTCCCTGTCCTATAGCTAATGCCTTCAAGTTCACCAATCTGCAGAACACGACCTTGTCAAGCCCACAACGCCAAGCTGATTAGTTGTGGAATCTCAGGCTGTCAACAATGGTTTTATAACCAATCTGGCCTCACCAAACACACAAGGACACACCACCTCTCCTTTCTCAATGCCTTACCACCCCAGAATCAAGATTTATACAAGGACAACAATGGACAAGATGGTTTAGATAGCAATGTGGATGTGCAAGAGGAAAATGTAATACAGGATATAGATGATGAGTGGATGCATAATGTAGAGTCTGATGTAGATGTAGAGCCTAACATGGATGAGGAGCCTGTGCAGGATGACAACAAGGACCCTCTACATGAGTACAACAATATGCCAGGTGTGGAGGAGTTCAAACATCACCCACTTATCAATGGTAAGTATTCAGCCTTTTCTGATTTTAATCTCTATTCATTCATTTAGGCTTGCTGTGTGATGAATGTAGTATCTATCTATATGCAGAAGAGCCACCTAATCCACCACCAAGTCCTTCTAAGAGTGACTGGACACTGTACCATGACCACATTGAATTTGAAACTGCCCAGCTACTGTACCAGAAGACACAGGCCTCTGCTGGGAATATAGATATACTCATGAACTTTTGGTATGCTTCATTCATCAAGAACAACTTACCAGATGATCACATGCCCTTTTACAGTGCTCAAGACCTTTATGGAACCATCAATCCAACATTGCTTGGGGATGTTGCATGGCAATCCTTCTCACTAGCCTATAATGGCAAGCTCTAAGACCCTGCTCCAGACTAGATGTCCGGATCCTTTGAAGTCTGGTTCTGCAGCCTGCACACAATAGTCAAAAATATACTTTCAAACCCAGAATTTGTGGGTCAGTTTAATTATGGCCCAGTATGCAAATATAACAGCACAGGCAAGCAGAAGTACCAACATTTTATGTCCAGTGACTGGGCATGGAAGCATGCGGAAAAATATCTCAAGTCCCCAACACCTATGGATCAATGTTCGTCCCCATTATCCTTCAGAGCAATAAAACTACCATTTTGGTAGCTACAGGACAAAATGAAATTTACCCTATCAATATCTCTATATGGAATGTACATAATAGTGTCTGCCGGGCACATAGAAATGCAGTTTCCCTGCTTGGGTTCCTTTTAACTCCAAAAAGTGTGCCTTCTACTTCCTTTGCACATTTAATAGGCTAACTTTGAGTTTCAGCTGCAAAGAAATATGTGAATGACACAAAATTTCAAAATTTCAGATGGCAACTCTTCCATTGCTCCACATCACACATCACGCAAGAACACCCAAAGTTGTGCGGTGTCCAGATGCCCATTTGAGAAGAGTAATATATGGGCTTGGCCCCTATATCACTGATTACCCCAAACAAGTCCTTCTGGCTTGTATTGTGCAAGGCTCGTGTCCCCGGTAATCCATCCACACATGTTAACATTAGCAGTTCTAATATTTTCTCTATAGATGTATTTCAGCGCCAGATAACTTAGATGTACCAAGCATTTGACAGAATCAAGATCACACAGATACCCTGGTCAATGCATTCAATCTGGATGTAATATGGGATGAGTATGGAATAGTTGGCAACATCGTAGTACATGCACAAGATTTCACCATTAGTCATTAGTCACTGATGATGGATCTTCTTATTTACATAGCCATTTACAAACAATTTCCCTCGTGCAGACATCCATGAGCATCTCTCTCCTGATCTGTTACATCAAATCATCAAAGGCACTTTTAAGGACCATCTGGTCTTGTGGGTGGACAAATACCTTGTTCTGACACATGGAAAAAAATGTGCAGATGAAATCTTAGATGACATTGATTGTTGGTAAGTGGTCCTCATTGTTCACTTGCAACATTTACACTAATATATTAGAGTATTGCTGCAGCCCCATCATTTCCTGGTTTACAGAGGTTTCCTCAAGGTTGCAGATACAAACAGTGAACAGGAGACAACTCTAAGGCCTTAATGAAGGTTTGTCCATCCTAAAAAACATACATGAATATAACTAATCCACCCCACTAGGTTTGCATTCCTGCCATTGTGGGACATGTCCCTAATGGCGTAGCATACACCTTCTGTGCATTTTTAGAGTTTTGTTATCTTGTATGGCAGGATGTACAAGATGACAATGAGGATGGCTCACCTACACTGCAGGTTATCCATATAAGAGAACTAAGTGAATGGGCAGAATGCCCGAACTACAATAGATGTCAGCTTAAGGTAAATATCTATAAAATGTAATGTAACATACCTCAGTCACCTCCTGGAAGGATGTAGAAATGACTGAGGTATTTCTATGCTAAACCCTCTACTACTTATAGTCGGAGGTGGTACTCACTTAAGTACAATAACTCCTGGAAGAACAATGGTTGTTCCAGGAGGTGGTGGCTGTGCTCCTGGAAGAACAATGGTTGCTCCAGGAGAACAATGGCTGTTTAGGCGACACTAAGTCTATCTGGTTTTGTCAGCTACAGGGTTACGCCTGTGTTCCTCTTTCAATACTACACTGATATTAACAGAGAAATTGCCTCAAGACAGTGTTGGTTAAAAGAACTTGTATATGAGTCGATAAAAGAGTGACTTAAGCTCCCCAAACACTGCAGACTGAGAGAGGCTCTAGGCAACAGCAAACTGAGGCAATGCAAGCAAGCTTTACAGGCTATAGGCTTGTTCTATCCGATAATGGACAGAGCAGATGAGATTGGAGCTTTATGCAAGCACCAGATATGCCAAAAAGCGAAAATATAGGCCAAAAAGTCGAAATTGTCACAGGGACAGATGGAGTGGATGGATTACCTCCAAAATAGAGGTGTGGAGAGCGATTATATGGTGCAATAGATAGGCCAAATATGGCCAGAAACGAAGCACAGGGAGTGGATAATAAAACTAAGTGAAACTCAGCTGCTGCCCGAGAGGCTATAGAAACGACTTTATTATTTACCTAAGTAAAACTACAATAGATGTTAGTTTAAGGTGATCTCTAATAAATGTAATGTAATATACCTCAGCCGCTGCCCGAGAGGCTATAGAAACGACTGAGGTATTCCTATACTAAACCCCCTACTACTTATAGTCGGAGGTGCTACTCGCTACAGTATAATGACTCCTAGGAGAACAATGGTGACTCCATGGAGAACAATGGCTGCTTCGGCAGAGACCGGGTTTATCCGGTTTTATCACATTGAGCAAGATAACTTGTTAGAAGGCATAATTGATGGGGCTTCAGTGGCATCTGCAATACATCTGTTAATATTTAGCTCACCCCATAGATAATGTTTCCGCATTTTGGTTATGGTTGGGTTTGATTCAGTTATTATTAGTTAATGCCTAATTTGGTTTATAGAAATCAATCAATTAATTACAAACCATAGTTTCAGTTTAGTTTCAATTTATAACTGACTTCAAACTGGGATAGCACTTTCTTTGGTTGTCCCACTTATTTCATCAGTCAGGTCAACGACACCATTAGTCACTATCATGGAATTGGCAAGTATCCCACTCTGATACTTCCATCACCAATGAGCTCATCACCACTAAGTCCACCATCAGCATCTCTGGTTTGTTCTGTGCTAAAGTCAAGGAGTCTATTTGCTGTGGCCTCTCATGCTCCCACTGCATTATATTGGGGTTAGGGTTTCGGTGCATTTCTGTGCACAGAAGGTAGGGTTAGGATTTAGTGCCTCCTACAGCTGTAATGTTAGTGTACACATAGGACCTTGCTACATGTTGGAGCCCTGGAGATATTGTTATTATGCATTTAGGAAATAGTAAAAACTGCAGGGAAATGTGTGTGATTTGTATTTAGTACATATAGGATTTTTGATAAGTGGACAGAGGAGCGTAATGGATGTAAATGGTTTCCACCAGTTACAAATTGTTTTAAACCACAAATGGTTAAAAACCAAATTATATATAACCATTAGTAAACCAAACCAAGGTTTGGTTGGTCACATGATTTCCCACCTGTTTCAACTGGTTTGAGCTACAAAATGTGGCAACACTACCCACAAAGGTTCTCCCCAAAAATGAGCAAGAGTAGTAACCTGAGAATTATATGCTATACAACCTTATATCAATTAGAGTCCTCCATGTTATTATCACTATTTAATAATATCAAGTACCATTACCATGCTCATGGGTGGCACTCCTGTTATAATTGACTATACTATATCTGGTGAGATGAAATTTTATGTTTTCACTAATCCACAAAAAGCATTTACAAAGAAAAGGGTATTAAATATGAATATGATCAGCATGGTTGCTATTATGACTGTAAATAGAATTTCCTGGTTTATAACATGGGATATCCTACACAATGTGCTGGGACATCCCATGTACTGAGGTGGGATATCCCACATATGTTACGATAACACAAGTTTCGGACCTTCTCTTTATTTTTATTCTCCGCTTTAACCTTGTACTTTAGCTTTCACACATGGTGCCACGTGGCATTTCCCCTTTTTGTCCAAACTCCTCTTTCTCGTGCCGCGTTGCTTTTCTTCTTATTATAGACACAACTCTCTCACACAGTGGAGCTGGCCATGCGGGCTAGGCCCCATGACATCATCAGCCACTGTCTCTATCAACTGTATAGTACACATGTACAAATAACCCTGTAGTAGTGTATATACCCCAATAGATCCAGGAGACTCCTTAGCGAGTCCTCCTGTTGTATACCAATAAACTCTCTGCAGCTCAAAGGGTAACCACTCCCTCATCATCTTCCTTATAGTGTGTTCTGTGTGCGCCAGAGTAACTAACTCTTGGTTGTTACAACATACAGAATTAGGACATCTCATTTACTGAGTGGGATGTCCCATAAAATAGCTGGGACATCCCATGTACTGAATTGGGTGTCCCATAAAGCAGCTGGGATATCTCATGTACTGTTGAGATGTTATATGTGCAGAGTTGGACATCCTACCTGTTTACATAAGGTATCCTCCCATTTTATATGGAAGATATCCCTACTTGGGAAATAGATCTAGCATAGTATTTATGCATACTGAGTATTATATACAGAAAGACATCTATCATGGAAAGTTATCAATGCAGTATTTATTCTCAAGGCTTTTCATAAAATACACTAAGCTGTTGTAGTTATGTGATATTGGTGTCCTGACTCAGTACATGGGTGATTGACACCAATGATCCAACTTGCAACAATGTGGGACCCCAAGCTGAAATTTGTGAACTGAATTGAGTGTTTTTTGAGATTTGAAGCTATCCTTATTTTTATCTGAATAGCATTGAAATCAGTGTGAAGGTTGCACTGTAAATTCCCCTAGTATGCTAAAACTCCCTAATTAGTCTTACATATCTAGATACTGCAATACACAACCATATTATACAACAGAGGTGTAAGAATAACTTGCATGCATTAATAAAATGTAAGACAATGAAAAATGCAGTTTTAAAGTTTAAGTTCCATAAAGTGATTGTAGTGATTCAATTAAGCTGCTGACACAGCCATAGCTGCATTATATGTGTTTACCTGTTTTATACTTATGTTTCTATTTACTGGTAGTGTGGAGAACCACAGATGTTTTAAATGTCTGGCTGTTGCTGCTGCTGCAGTGAAGCATACCTTGTGATATAGCTCTTTGCTAAAATGTGACTTGGTATGTGGGATGTCCCAGCTGCTTTATGGGACATTCCAACTTAGTATGTGGGATATCCCAGCCCAGTGCATGGGATGTCCCAGCTACTTTATGGGACATCCAAACTCAGTACATGGGATATCCCAATTTAGTACCTAGGATGTTCCAACTGCTTTATGGGACATCTCAGCTCAGTACATTAGATATCCCAGCTACTTTATAGAACAATTCAACCTCACTCAGTACAATCACATGGTTTATTGCATCTTTCCAATGTAATGTGTTTTGAGCAACCCATACAATAGTAAATAAGACCAAAGATATCTTAACCTGGTCAACCTATTAATGAGGTTAAGGCTAAACATCTCCCACTCTTCTTTTGGATCCCTTGGATTTTTGGGCTGAGTATCTCATCTATTAACTTGTAATTTGAGTTATTTCCAGCTCAACTAGGCTTAAGTCTGTTAATCAAGCTGTATGTGACAGTAAGTTAATGTGATTGACCTCTCTATATCTCCTTGCAAGTCTTTGTCTATATACCAGAGCACCATACCCCATAGCCAATAAAACCCACTTGATCCTCACTGAAACCACATTGAAAGTCCTAGAAAGTGTTTGAGAGTATGATTCCAACACAATTGGGCCTTTCATGTTGCATGCACTAGATCCTGATACTATAATACTTGACTCACCAGGTCTGAATATTAGGGGGAGATCATATTTCTAGTAAATCTTTCCTGCATGTTCCCCTCTCTGAACCAAAGGCTGGGATAAAATATTTGCCAATTTCAATCATTGATTCACCTATCCCAAATGATCCCAGGTGCATTACAGGACATCCCAGGTGCTTAATGGGATGTCCCAGCCCACTACATGAGAAAGGTTTTCATCTCAATTCTGCAAAAGGTGGGCAGTGGGCAGGCTGATATTAAAAGGTCTCATTGCCACCTAATAAAACTAAGTGAAACTCAGCCGCTGCCCGAGAGGCTATAGAAACGACTTTATTATTTACCTAAGTGAAACTACAATAGATGTTAGTTTAAGGTGATCTCTAATAAATGTAATGTAACATACCTCAGCCGCTGCCCAAGAGGCTATAGAAACGACTGAGGTATTCCTATACTAAACCCCCTACTACTTATAGTCGGAGGTGCTACTCACTACAGTATAATGACTCCTAGGAGTACAATTGTGCTCCTAGGAGAACAATGGTTACTCCATGGAGAAC